CTCCTCCTCCTCCTCCTCCCCCTCCTCCTCCTCCTCCGCCCCAGGGCGAGGCCGCGGGTGCGCCGCCGGGCGGCGCGGCGCCCTCCGCGAGGGCGGTCATCCAGGCCCTCAAGAGGGCCGTGGGCCCGGGCGCGGGGGTGCCGCCGCCGGAGGTCGTGGGCGCCGCCCTGCGCCAGGCTCCCAGTCGGGCACGTCCCTCCACGGGAGATGTGGTGCCCGAGAAGAGTCAGGAACATAGTCTGGGGGGGCGATGTTGGGGCTAATGTTCAGGCTATGATTCGGCTATGTTTCATTCTGGAGGGGGACAAACACACAGGCACAAATAATCGTGGATCCCCCGGAAACTATGCGAAAATGTGGGAAGTGGGGGGGGAAGACGAACACCCAGAACATATAGGAACATGTGGGGAATCGGTTTATTTGTGTGTATTTGTTTGTGTGTTCTGGGGCCCCTTTATTCATGTTTCTTCCGACATCCGCCTTTGAATTTATTATATTTGTGTGTATTTATTTGTGTGTTCTGGGAGGCTATATTCTTTATTCAGGCTATGGTTAGGCTATGTTTCGTGTTTCTTCCAAGCTCCGCGCTGTAGGGGGGCATGCCCGGCCGAACGCCAGGCCGGCGTGCCCATCACGGACCAGAGCATCGTCCAGGCGCTGGTCGAGGCCGCGGGCCCCGCGGCGAAGCCGCCGTGGGCCCCCAGCCTGGAGGACATGGAGGCGGCAAGCAGTGGCGAAGCGTCCCGGCTCGCCGATAGCCCCACCAAACAATGTTCGGGGGCGGAGAAGAGGGGGGTGATGACTAGGGGGGGTGGATATCATGGCGGGGGCCATGATATTTTCCCAGATTTCATGGCGCCTCTTCTCATTTCATTACGTCCCTGGCCCCCCCGCTGGGCCGCGCACATGCCGCCGGTCATGATTTGCACCCCCCCCTCTTGGACACCCCCCTCTTGGCCGCTCCCGGCAAACAATGTTCTAAGAACCTTTTGTGGTTCCCACGAAATGTTCTTAGAACATTTCTGGCATGGGACTGTTCTGTTTTTGACACATCGGGTTGATGTTCTGAGAACACTGTTTTTGTTCTTAGAACATGTTTGGGTTCTAACAGCATTTCGTGGTATGACTATAGGAATGCCGGACGGTCGGTCCCTGCTCAAAGGCGGTGCGCGCGGCGGCGAACAGCGGCGACGTGGGCGTCCTGCAGGGGCTGCCGGCCGGGGCGGGGGAGGCGGAGCCCGTGGATGCGGCGGTCCGCGAGGAGGTGCCGCGGCGGAAGAGAGGTATACCAATGCCGCGCTCCCCTTCCCTCGTTCTTCTTCCCCGTTTCTGGGCCTCCCGGGAGGCCTTCGTCGCCACGGCTGGATTCGCCTCGAGGTGTTGGCCAGAGCGCGCCCCGGGAGACGACCAAGGAGCGGTGGCGAAGCGTCCCGGCTCGCCTCTAGGCCCACCAGAGAATGTTCTAAGAACATGTTGATGGTTTGCACGCGGAAGGTTCTGAGAACAGTTCTGGCTGAGACTGTCGGTCTACGTTCTAGGAACATTATGCTTGTTCTTACAACATCCTTTCTGGATTCTGAGGCCACTCTGGGACGGTCGGTCCCTCCAGTCGGGAGCCTTGAGACGGGAGTCAATGCAAACGGGGGTCAGCCAGAGCGCCCGATCTTGCAGGATCCTGGGTCGCATTGACCCGGGTGTGGGTGCAGGACCCTGCAGGATCTTGCAGGATCCTTCGCGTTGACCCGGGTGTAGGTGCAGGACCCTTCAGGGTCTTGCAGGATCCTTCGCGCTGACCCAGGTTTAGGAGCAAGGTTCTTGCAGGATCTTGCAGGATTCTGCGAGGCCTGACTGACCCAGGTCTGAATTGACCTGGGTCAGAAGATCCCCGCTCCAGAGTAGCGTTAAGTCGGGCCTGTCCCTCTACAGGGGGAATATCCAAAAATAGTTACAAAAATAGTCTGGGGACTATTGTTTGAGCATTAAAAAAAAAAACATGTTGGGGCATTCTTAGAATACCTTTTTGTTGCCGATGCGCCGTCCAGGCGCGGCTCTTGAGTGAGTGAGAGTTAGAATATCTTTTATTTTTCGTCGAAAAGCCCCCTGTGGGGGGCACGCCCGACTTCAGAGCAGCGACACACCAACATTTCTCGGTTCCCCCAACCCAGGCATGATCGCGTCGTAAAAAAATCAGGACGGAGGTTTTTCGCCGTTTGGGCCTCCAGAGGCTCTCGCCGGTCCCCGGGACCGTCAAAAAAAACAACTCAGGATGAAAAACCGGCCCCGGGGAAAGGGTCGGGATTAATCCCGAATTCCCCGGGGCCGGTTTTTCAGGACGTCGCATGTCTGTGAAGGGGTGGCGGCGATGATGGCCGCCGAGGGCTAATATAGTCAGGGGACTATTGTTTGAGTACTTGTTTCACCATTCTGGGGCATCCTGAGAATACCTTTTAGTTTTCGTCGAAGAGCCCCCTTGTGGGGGGACACGCCCGACTTCAGAGCAGCGGCACATTGAGGCATTCCTCGGTTCCCCCCAAGAGGTGGCGGCGATGATGGCCGCCGAGGGCGGCGGGCCTTCCGCCCGCGACGTGGTGCGGGCGCTGAAGCTGGCGGCGGGGGAGGGCCTGGGCGCGCCGCCGCCAGAGGTCCGCGGGCAATAATACGACCCGCGAGCACCGGGAGCGCGCCGGCGTTTCCCCATAGGGGCGCCGTCGAGCCTCGACCCCAGACCCCCTCGAGTCAGGACAACAAAAATCACGACGGGAGGTTTTTTTTGTTTTTTAATATTTTTTCTGGTTTCGGTCCAAGGGGGCCCCTACCGGGCCTCGGGAGTGTGAAAAAAATACCCAGGACGAAGAACCGGTCCCGGGGAATGGGTCGAGACCTTTGGGTGTCGACGTTATGACAAAAATCATGACGTCGGGGGTCTGGGACCCAGGATTTGCACAGTCGGACCGAGTAATTGTTAGATCGAGGTCGGTTCGGGGAGGGTGCCCCAATGTGTTCCGTGATTGCTGGGTGTTCTTGTGCATCCTGGGAGGTTCTGTGTGTTTTGGCTGGCTGATCTGACGTTCCACGCAAACATACAACATTTCGCAAACTCACGACCAGAGCCCTAGACCCCATCTCTCTGCCCCCTTCTTTTCTCCAGGCCGGATCGATCTGCGAGGGTCCGGGGGCCCAACGGTAGCAGGCGAACACGCCCGTCGTGAGAAAAAGTGCAGCGCTGAGATCCGTGGGGAGGTGGTCGGCGCGGCTTTGGCCAGCAGCCGGGTGCAGATCACCCCAGAGACCGTGAGGGAGGCCCTCGAGGATCGGGTTGAGCCAAAAAGGGGGTCCTGCGACAAGGGGGTGGTGCAATAGATTTGGTGCACTAGATTTGTTGGGTTGCAATACGTGTGGGGCGTGCAGTACATTCCGGAGCGCAGATGTATTGCTGGATTTCCGCGTGCAATACATCACTTGCAATACAATACGTGACGATTGCCCAGCGCAGTACATTTGCAATACAACTGCTCCAAACCTATTGCACCGCCCCCTCTCAGCTGGGCCTCCTCTTAAGGTCACCCGGAGAGGAGGCGGCCGGGCCCGGCGGCAGCCCGCCGGACGAGGCCGCCCTGCAGGCCGCGCTGGCGGCGGCGTTGGGCGGCGCCGCGAGGGGACTTGGCGCAGATCCCGCCGCCGCGCCGGGCGCCTCCGCGCAGTCGCCCGAGGAGGTGGTCTCTAGTGTATTATACAAAGAAGTGGCGAAGCGTCCTGGCTCGCCTGCCACAGAATGTCCTAAGAGCCTCTTGTGGTGTGCACGACATGTTCTTGGAACCTTTCTGGCTGAGGCTGTCTTGTTTCAACACATCGGGCTTATGTTCTAAGAGCCTTGTCTTCTGTTCTTCGAACATTTTGGGGTTCTAAGAACATGTCGCGGTAGGCCTATAGGACTGCTGGGACGGTCGGTCCCTGCGCAATGGAGAGCAAGTGAGCGACGATCAAAAATAGGTCTTACGCGAGATGACACAGCGGTGGCCGCCCGCGCAGCACACCACAATGGAGACGAGGCGCTCACGCGCGAGCTGAAGTGCGCCGGCAGCTTACACGCCAATGTCGGCGAAGTTGACCCCGTTTTCTTGCGTCGTGTCACTGCCACCTGCTCCTGACAGGAAAACGCGACTCAACCGATGCCTTGATCGGGCCGAGGGGGCAGTTCAAGACCATACCTCGTGAGGAGCTCGGCAGGTGCCCACTTCTCTTCCCACAGGCCACCCGAGGAGGTCGTCGGGCGCTGCTGGAATATTCGTTGCAGAGCGCTCTGGACGCTCAAGCAGTGGCGAGGCGTCCTGGATTGCCTAATCTCAGAGGGTCGCTAATGCTCAATAAGCCCCCCAAAGCTTTCGGCTGGCAATTAAACTCATCCTTCCCCTCCTCGTCTTTCCCCTCATCATCGCCACCATCAGGGATCCTCAATGCCAGCCCTTGCGTTTGTTGCGGGAGGGCGCGCTTACCAGGACTGCGTGACGGACACTAGTATGAGGACCAGGTTGTGGTCTTGCGACAGGTCGCCATCCCTGTACCGCACCAGTTTCCTTGTGGCAAGTGGGCTCACTCGTCGAGTAAATCAAATCAGGTTTCCTCAAAAATCACTTCATTCCCCCCCCCGATCATCAGCGGTGGACGCCGCCGGGGGAGAGTTACTTTCCCAGTATTGTTGGGATCCAAATCCGTCAACAAGCCCGCGCAGAAGATCTGCTCCTATAAGATGGGGGCTTTGGATTAAGACCCTCGGCGGTGATTGGCCACCACAAATGGTCTCATGAGCGTTCGCGGTTTGCACGTTATGCTCTTAGAACATGTTTGGTTGAGACCGTTTTGTTTTGATACACCGATTGTATGCTCTAAGAACGGGGTGCTTGGGTCATGACATTGTTCTTAGAACATGTCTTGGTTGGCATATAGGAATGACGGGGCGGTCGGTCCTTGCTCAAGACGCTCTCACCGGTACGATCGAAGCGGGTACGAAAAGGATGGGCACGAAGACCGACAGCATTTGCTGCCAATTGAGCAGGACTCGTTGTCGGTGCCGCCGCGGACGTTGTCCACTCGAGACAGACAGCCGCCTGTCCAGCAGCGACCGCTGCCGGTCTGGGACGGCATTTGAGCAGCTCATCTGTTATTGGGCATCCTACCCTGTTTTTCTGTACCCAATTCGGTTGTCCATGTCTCAAATCGCTTTGGAGCGCTCCGGAACGGCCTGGGCGCCCCGTCTGCATCCTCTGGAGCCGCCAGATCTCAGAGATCCCCCGATGTCCCCAGGTCCGATTTTACCTCAGTCCCAGACATCCGGCGTCTCGATTTTTTGAGAGACGCGGGCTTCCCCGACCTCTCGACCAAGGTTGTTCAGCCCGAGTCGTTTTTTGGTCGGGAAGGGCCCCGAGAGGCCGAGAATTGAGAAGCATGTCCGTCCAGATGTTTCAGGACGTTGCACGTCTGGGAGCCGGTCTTGCTGAAACAAGCCGTATAGGCGAAGCACAAGTTGACTGCAGCGAGGGCTGAGTTCGGTTTGCTTCATCATGGTGGAGTCCCCTTCCCATGAGTTGGGCAGCGGTTTTACCAACATGACTTGCAGTGAGAAGAAAACCGAGTTTATGTCTGGGAGCCGATCTTGCCCCGGTCCTGGCCTCGTCTTGACTAGGTGGTGCTGCGGCTGCAGGCGGCGCAGGCGAAGATCGACGGCACGGTGGGCGCACCCCCCGCGGAGGTGTCGTGGGAAGGAGAGAAGCGATGCCACCACCACAGCCGCCACCACCACCATTTCCACCAGGGGGGCCACCTCCAGCGAGGAGGTCCCCGAGGCCTTCCCGAGCTGGGGACGGGGGGTGCGTTGAGCGAGAGTCGAACTACCAGAAACAGCGTAAACATAAGGTTCTTGGAACTCCGCGCTCATTTTCCTGGATCGGCGCCGGGCCCTCCTGGCGGCGCCTCTGGCGCCGCCCCTGGCGCGCTCGGCGCGCCAGGGAGGGGGTCCACCGCCCATCAAGAAAGCCGCCCGGACGTCCAAAAGTTCACATGCCATGTATGCAGCGTTCTGTTCCTCTATAGACAGGGGGTGCCACACAACCAGAGGGACCGCGCCACCAGGGGGATTCCGCCTGGCTCCTGCCGAGGGCGTCGCGGCATCGCAGCCTTGGCTGCAAGTGCGTGGGTTCGCGACGGGTCCCGCTTCCGTGCCGACTCGGCGCGCGCCCCGCGCCGTGCGGGATCCGGCGCGCTCGCGCGCCAGATCCACGGACCACTACAGTCGGGGCCCTGAAGAAGGAACCCTCTTTCGTTGGGGAGGGGCTCCGTGTTCCTTGCTTGCTTCACAGTTTGCCTTGGGTTTTTTCAGTGGGTTTCCCATGGGACATCGTAGTTTGACTCGTGGGAAACAGGGGCCTCGTTCCTTATTTATCGTTCCTTAGGTCAAGGCCCCGACTGTAATCCGTGCTTGCGTGTGCCCGAGGGTGGCCCCCGGTTGTGGTCCCAACGTCATGTTTTTTTTTTTCATAAGGACGACCCCCAAAGGTCTCGACCCATTCTCGGGGACCTCAGTGGGCCCTGGAAACGACAGGGCCGTTTTGTTACCGGTTCCGTTTTGCCTTTTTTTTGGTCGGTTCCGACGCCGTTTTTGTTACCGGTTCCGTCGCCGTTTTTGTTACCGGTTCCGGCCCCGGTTCCACTTCTGGAGCCGTTTTTTTGCCGTTCTCCGGTCGCCGTGTTTTGGCCGTTTCCGTTTTCAAGGGGCATTGTTTCGAAAACGGTGAAAAACGGCCCTGCCGTTTCCGGGGCCCACGAAGTCTGGCCGGGACCGAATTTCCATCTAAGTTTTTGACGGTCACGAGGCTTCGTAAGGGGCCCCGCAGATTGAAGACAGCAACAACAAAAAAGAATTTCCCGTCGTGATGTTCTCCTGTCTCGAGGGGGTCTGGATCTGGTGGTCCCTGGTTCGCGGACCAAGCAATGACATTAGGTAACATACAAGTCTGAGGTCCGCGCGGACTTCTCGGATCGGCGGTGGAACCCCCTCCCCAGCGCGCGGCTCGCGCCAGGGACGGCGCCGGAGGTGCCGCCAGGGGCTCTCAGCGCCAATCCGAGGAATACGCGCGGACATCAGAGTGGTCATGTTTACGTCACTGTTTGTTCCCTACTAGGAAGGCCTTGCGGCCGGTGCCGCCGACCCTGAAGGGGGTCCAGCGACAAAGGGGTGGTTCAATAGATTTGGTGCAATAGATTCGTGGGGGTTGCAATACATTCGAAGCGTCAAAGACATTCCGGGGCGCAAATGTATGGCTGGACTCTCGCATGCAACACATGGCTTGCAATAGAATGCAATACAATTCTCAATTCTCTGGCCCACTACATCTGGACTACAATTGCCCCAAATCTATTGCATCACTCCCTTTCAGCTGGACCCCCTTGTGGGTCGCCAGATTCCCTGCTCCTGAGGTGGTGGGCGTAGCGCTGCACGTGGCCGGGGTGCCCACCACCCGGGAGAACGTCCTCCGCGGCCTGCAGCAGGCCTTCGGGCGCGCGGCCAGCGGCGACGAGCTCCGGGCAGCTCTGCTGGCGGTCGCGGAGGATCGGGACGACAGAAAGGGTTAAGTCGGGCCGGTCCCTCTGTCTTTCTACAGGAGGACTATTCAAAAATATTCAAAACAGAGTGTGGGGAGGAATTGTTTTTGCATATTTTTGTATGTTTTCGTCCAACATCCGCCTGTACTGTGGGTGTCACGCCGGACCTAAAGAATGGGGGTGCGGAACGAATGGGCACGCAGCTCGAAGACAAGCAGATTGCTCCGAGGAGGAAAACGTACCCATAGCGCTGCCCTTGCCTCGTTCTCGCTTGTTTGGGCCGAATGAGTGGCCCTCACCGCCACCGTTGGAGTCGCCTCGAAGTCCTGGTCAGACCGCACCCCAGGAGAGATCCGGGGGGTAGCGGTATGGATACGTTTTGGTTTTCCCCCGTTGCAGACTCATGAAGAATTGTCGGAGGTCCCCGTGGATTTCTTGGATCGGCGCTGGTCCCCCCCCGGCGGCGCCTCCGGCGCCGCCCCCGGCGCGCTCCGCGCGCCAGGGACGGGGTGTCCCAGCGCCGATAAAAAGAATTCCCCGCCGACCTCCGATTGTTGAGGGGGAATTGGGAAAGGGGGGGTTACGAAATTTGCTGCATGCAGCTGGTTTCGGCCTCACCGATGGGGCCCATTCCTCGATACATAGCCGCCGTCGGCGCCGGGAGGCGCCGGGAGAATCGGCCATGTGAGCTGATTCTCAAAGCCCCCCTTTGCCATCCCCCCCTTTCGCCCGACCCGAAATGCCCAAGAGCAGTCCCTGCTCCTTTTGAGCAGGGCTCGCTGTCCACGCCGCCGCGGCATGTGTCCATTCGAGACAGAGGGCCGCTTGCCCGACAGCGGCCGCTGTTGGTTTGGGACAGCATATGTTGTTGGGCATTGTACCCATTTTTGTCCGTATCCATTTCGGGCGTCCGAAGACGAGTCCAGGAGGGGCCTGGCCAGGAGCAGTGGATGTGTCTAGATCTCGTCGGCCCTATAGGGGTGGGTGTTGGTGGCGAGCAGGCTGTACGATGCCTAATTAGCCGCCCCCTCGCGCGAAGCGCGAGAAGGTAGCCAGAGGTGTGGAAGAGTCCGGCCACGCGAAACCTGGCCCCGGAGTCAAGAAACAGAGCCAGGCAGGGAGCGAGCCGCTCAGGGGGAGCGAGCCGCTCAGGGGAACGGGCCACGCCCCGCGGACAGAGGAAAGAGAACTATGCACATGCACAGAGTCTGGCCAGGCCCATCCTGAGCCCAGGATCGGTGCCTACGCCCTGTCATACCTTGGCCAGGAAGGTATATGCACCGATCCTGGGTCAAGGAGGGGCCTTGCCAGGATCGGTTCGGGCCATCCTCAAAAGATCGCGAAGATGGCCCAAGATGGTCTCCGAGTCCGCCCAAGATGATCCAAGACGGCCTCCAAGACGGCCCAAGAGAGTCCAAGACGGCCCAAGACGGCCCAAGAGGCCCCCCAGAGGCCTCCCAGACGGCCCAAGAGGCCTCCAAGAGGTCCTCCAGGAGGGCCCGAAGTCTCTTCGCCCGAGCGGAGAGCAGGAAGGCGAGCGGCAGAACCGGACGGGCGCGGGATGGGGGCGGGCGGCCCCACCCCGGCGTAGTGGGTCGGGCGGGCGAGCCCAGGCGGCGGGGGTCGAGCGGGCGGTGTCGCTCAGGCTCAAGCAGTCTCGAAGCGTCCTAGCGCGCCTATTGCCCTACCAAGCAATGTTCTAAGAACCTTTTGTGGTTCCCACGAAATTGTCTTGGAACATTTCTGGCTGGGACTGACTTGTTTTAACACATCAGGCTTATGTTCTAAGAACATTGTTTGTGTTGTTAGAGCATGTTTGGGTTCTTAAAAAATCGTGGTAGGACTATAGGAATTCCAGGACGGTCGGTCCCTGCTCAAGAGGCGTCGATTGCTTGCGCGAAGATGCTAGGAAGTCCCACGCGGGAGTTCGATGTTCAAACAGGTGTGAGGAAGTATCAGGAGGCCAACAACACAGTCTGAGGCGCAAGCCTTCCCGTTGTAAAGAACGAGTGCCGGTCCCGGGAGGGGCATTTCATTTGAAAAATACAATGTGCATCGGAGGAGGATCAACAATCATGTTTCTTTTGGAATGAGCGATGACGACAACAAGCAACAACAAGAGTCCAGACCGCGGATCCCCATTTCAGCCACGCACCCAGGGACAGTGCAAGACCGTTCGGCCCTTTCACTCCAACGAAGATCGACCGCAGTTCCTGTCCATTTTGAACAGGACTCGTCCAGCAGTTCCTGTCCATGCTTGCGGGCGTTAACCATTTGGGGCAGATGCGCGCCTGGTCAACAGCGGACGCTGTCGGTTTTGGGCAACAGTCGTTGCGCATCGTACTGAGATGTTCAGTAATCGTTCCCAGACCCCCGACGTCCCCCCCCAGAGGTCTCTACCCATCACCCAGGGCCGTATCCTGAGTCGTTTTTGACGGTCCCGAGGCCCAGTAAGGATCCCCAGAGGCCGAACATAGCGAAACAAATCGCGCCGTGATTTTCTCAAAGCTCATGCACGACTCGAGGGGGTCTGGGTTTCGGGCGCCCGCAGAGGAGATCGCGAGCCCAGGCGCCTACAGGGCGTCGCCGCCGCCCTCCTCCGCAGCGGCTCCCCCGCAGAGCCCCGAGGAGGTGGTCCAGCAGCTCATGGGTGCCGCTGGCCCGGGCGCGCTGGCGGCCGCCGTGCCGCCGGAGGTCATCGTCGGCCACGAGCAAGAGCGGCCCTGCGCTGGGGTGATCTGTTTGGTGCGGCTCGTGCTGGGGGTCGGCCGGGGGTCTGGCGTGGCCCAGCGCTGGTTCCGGCGAGCGGGGAGGGGGGGAGGGGCGAGGTTCGAGGTTTCGAGGTGCGGGGAGTCGAGGAAGCGTCCGCCTTGTTTGGCCTCCGGGGGCCGTTTCTGGGCCCTGGGGCAGTCAAGAAACGGATCCGGGGTGATGCATGGCAGAGGAGGGACCCCGGGAGGGGTCCATGATGGGCCTGTTTTCCACCACCACCACCACCATAAGTTGGAGAGGGAGGTGGTCCTCCTCCTCCTCATCCACCTCCTCCTCCTACTCCTCCTCCTCCTCCTCCTCCTCCTCCTCCTCCTCCTCCTCCTCCGTCTCCTCCTCCTCCTCCTCTTCGTCCTCCTCGTCGTCATCCTCCTTCCCCCTCCAAATGGTGGTGGAAAACAGGCCCATCAGTCCAGGGACTGATTTGAGCGGGTGGGCCGTTTTCCCTCCTTGGCGGATTTCTCGAGGTCCATCCAGTCCAACACCCCTGGCCGCCTCCAAGCTCAGAGCGTCTCGCGTCGTGCCGTGGCAGCAGAAAATCGCGGCGCAGAGGTTTCTGCAAGTCTTCGGCCGCCGGAGGCCCCCGCCAGGCCCTCGGACCGTCCAAAGCGACCCTGGATGAACAAATCGTGCCCTGGGAAGGAGTCCAGAGAGTTCGGGGGGGTGCGCGTCGTTATAAAAATACCATCCCAGGAAAGCAGGTCGATCTGGAGCACAACAGTGATTCAGCTGGCCAGGGGGTGCGCGAGCACGGCCATGTGCGCCTCCGTGCTTCTGCTCCGAGGGCCCCGGCGGGGGCACGACTCTGGAATACATTCAAAGGGCTTCACGGGCGAAGCGGCTGCCGCACCGCCTTCGGACCTGGGCGGTCTCGGGCTCCCCGTCGCCCCTGTGTCAAGGGAGGGGACCCCCCCTGCTCCTCCTCCTCCTCCTCCTCCTCCTCCTCCTCCTCCTCCTCCTCCTCCTCCTCCTCCTGCTCCTCCTCCTCCTGCTCCTCCTCGTCGTCCTCCCCCTCCTCCTCTTCCTCCTCCTCCTCCTCCTCCTCCTCCTCGACCCGATTATCGATACTAAGCGGCCGTTGGGGTTACCAAACAGCCCTGCCCTGTTCGATTCCTCCCTTGGGTGCGTGTGCTCAACGACTCCGCTCGTCGGGGCGCCAATTGTAGGGCTGGACACTCTGCCCTCTGTTGTGGGACTTGTCTGCGGTCTTCTCGTCCCTGCTGGCTGTGCCCACGGCACCAGCCCGCGCGCTTGGACCGTGGCCCCCTCCTATCCAGCTGCCTCCAGCGAGTCCTGCCACCGTGTCTGGGTTGTGGGTTTGGAGCCCAGCCGCTCGCAGGGCGCTCCAAGACACTAGCCAGCGACCTCACACCCTCGCAGGAAGAGCCCGCGCTTTCCGTCCCTACGCCTAGCAGGTCAAATGGCCTTCGGCCCATCCCGCCACCGTGCCTTGGTTGTGGGTGGGTATGAAGCTTATTGGATGTTGGATACTCGTTGGGATCGCGTGGGAGGCCTCTCGGGGGCATCTCGGAGGCAGTTTTGGGGGCCTCTGGGGGCCGTTCTGGGGCCTCTTAGGGCCTCTTGTGGGTCTCTTTGGGGCCCCTCGGGGCCTCTTGGGGACCTCTTGCGGGCCTGTTGGGGCTTCTTGGGGACCTCTTGGGGGCTCCTGGGGGCCTCTTGGGGCGGAAGGCTCAGATGTTCAGTTCGTGTTCTCCCTGTTAGGCCCCTTTTGGGGCCGGCTTGGGGCCCTGTTGGGCCGTCTTGGGCGCTTCTTGGGCCGTCTTGGGGCGCTCTTGGGCCGTCTTGGAAGCCTTGGAGAGCCCCAGGGAGGCGCCATGGCCGCCCAGTGACCCCCTGGGAGCAGGGGTGGTGCAGTCAGGGGGGTGCTACCGGAGCGGGCGGCGGGTCCTTTTGAGAGGCTACAGGAACCCTGCCAGGCAGCCCTTGGCCTTCCTCCGCGTCTCAACGTGCCGCAGGTACGGTGGCGGAGAGAGCTGTGCGCCAGGGCCTCAGAGCTGGGGGGCACCAGTCGTACATCGAGCCTGGCGAGGCCGATCCTGGGCCCAGGATCGACGTGTGCGCCTTCCTGCCCAGAGGCAGGAGGGCGTATGCGCAGAGCCTGGGCCCGGGGTGAGCCTGGCCAGGCTCGGTGCAGGTGTGCATCTTGGAGGCCTCCTGCCCGGACCCCCGACGTCACGATTTTTTGCAGAGCGTCGACCCCCACAGGTCTCGACCCACTCGCCGGGACCAGTTTTTCAGACCGGGTCGGTTCTTGACGGCCCCGAGGCCCAGCAAGGACCCAAAGAGGCCGAAGACAGCGAAAAACCTCCCGTCGTGTTTTTGCGCAGGAGTCGAGAGGGCCTGGGAGCATAGAGTCCTCCTACAGAGGGCCCTTCCTGCCCATGGGCCGCTTGTGCGCGTGGCCGGCTCCCTCGGCATGGCGCTCCGGGCCGCGGGGCTGGAGGCCAGCAGGGAGAACGTGATCCGCGCGTTCGGCGAGGTCTTACCTGCCTGGAACATCTCCCCATCCCTAAGAATTACATCGCCTTATCTCGACGCCTATCTTGAGGATCCCCTCGGTTGCTGAGGTGCATCCCGAAGATTGTCACCACCTTCGGGCTTGTCCCGCGTAGGGATAGTGCGCGATGATGATTCAGAGATTACTGGGAGTCGTGTTCAGGTGGTGGCGCCTGGGATGATGACCAGAAGAACTGGCCCTGGACCGGGAAACTATTTGTTTCATCGTTCCCCCCCTTCCTCCTCGGGCGCGAGCCTGGACGGTCGACGGGCCAGACGGAGCCGACGCGAAGTGGAAGCCGAAGATCGGATACTATCTTTGCACTCGTGTCCCCCACAGTTTTTCCGAGTTGCAGTCTTGTTCCATGAGGGATATAGGCTCGAGGCTGGTTGAGTCGGGCCGGACGAAGGGGGGGGTAGGGACAGGGGGGGGGTACGACATCTGCTGCGTGCAGCTGGTTTCAGCCCTACCGAGGGGCCCATTCCTCGGGCGCCTCCCGGCGCCGGGAGGCGCCGGGACAATCAGCTACGTGAGCTGATTCTCACCCCCCCCCCTTTGCAAGGGCGCCCTCGAGGGCGCGAAGTTATTCGCGCTTCGCGCTTCGGCTCCGATCCCTCCTCCTCCTCTTCTCCCCTGGGAGGCGGCGCGGGAGCGCGACGTCATTCGCACTTCGCGCTTCGCGCAGCGCGCAGCGCGACGTTGGGAGCCCTTACTTTGCTATCCCCCCCCTTCCTGGCATCGCTCGGACGTGTGCATTTTTCTCTCGGCGAGAACCATCGAGGAGCATCCTTGATCATTTGGCGAAAAAAAAAAAAAACACGCCCGAAACCGACAAACAAAACACAGGGAAGGGACGTCCGAGCGATGGCGAGCTTTCGCCCGGCCCGATGGAGGTCGGGCGGCAGGGGGCCACGCCGCCCACGCTGGCCGACGTGGAGCTCGCCGTCGCGTCGGGCGCCGCGCCTCCCGCCGCCTCGCGGTGAGGGCCGGCCGCGCCGGCGCGCCAGCCGCCGTGGAGCTCGCGCCGCGCCGGCGGGCCTTCCCGTGGCCCCCACCTCGGGTCAGGTCCAGCTCCGCCTCTCTCCTCCTCCTCCTCCTCCTCCTCCTCCTCATCCTCTCCTCCTCCTCCTCCTCCCCTCCTCCTCCTCCTCCTCCTCTCCTCATCCTCTCCTCCCTCCTCCGCCCTCTCCTCCTCCCTCCTCCTCCTCCTCATCCTTCAGCTTCTCTCCTCTCTCCTCCTCCTCTTCTCCTCCTCCTCTTCCTCCTCCTCCTCCTCCTCCTCCTCCTCCTCCTCCTCCTCCTCCTCCTCCTCCTCCTCCTCCTCCTCCTTCCTCCTCCTCCTCCTCCCTCCTCCTCCCCCTCTCCTCCCTCCTCCCTCCTCCCTCCTCCCTCCTCCCTCCTCCCTCCTCCCTCCTCCCTCCTCCCTCCTCCGTGGAGCCTCGCGCCAGGCCGTGCGTCAGCAGAGGAGAGGCGGAGAGCACTCGAGCGCCTTCAGCATCCTGTCCGGCTTCTGTCGCGATGGGGGGGGAGGGGGGGCAGGAGGAGGGGGAGGAGGAGGACGAGGAGGCGAGGAGGGCGAGGGATAGGAGCGGGGAGGAGGAGGAGGAGGAGGGAAGAGGAGGAGAAGGTTGGAGGAGGAGGAGGAGGAGGAGGAGGAGGAGGAGGAAGAGGCGGAGGAACGAGCAGGGAGGCGGAGGGGCAGATCGGGGGACAGCCTGGAGGCGGACGGCGGCGGCGGTGTCGACGCGGCTGCCGCCGACGCGCAGGCGCGCGTCCGCCTCGCGACGGCGGAGGCCTCCCGCCGGCCCGCCGCGCCGCTCGGAGCGTCTCTGAGGGCGTGGGGGCGTCCAGGAGTGGGGGAGGATGAGCAGGAGGAGGAGAGGGGGGGAGGCACAGGAGGGGGGGGGACTCTTTCCCAGTCCCTCTCTTTCCCACCCCGTGCTAGAGAGCAGGCCACGAGTCCAAGCCTCTAAGGAGCGAGTGAGCGAGCGAGCGAGCGGGAGGAGGGTAGGAAGGAGGAGGAGGAGGAGGAGGAGGAGGAGGAGGAAATGAGGAGGAGGGGAGGAGGAGGAGGAGGAGGAGGAGGAGGAGGAGGAGAAGGAAGAAGAATAATCAGCAGAAGAAGAAGAATAATAATAAGAAGAAGAAGAAGAAGAGGAGGAGGAAGAAGAAGAGAAGAAGAAGAAGAGGAGAGGAGGAGGAGGAAATGAGGAGGAGGAGGAGGAGGAGGAGGAGGAAGGAGGGCGGGAGGAGGGCAGGAGGAGGAGGGGGAGGAGGATAAGGAGGAGGAGGAGGAGGAAGTAGAGGAGGAGGAGGAGGAGGAGGAGGAGGAGGAGGAGGAGGAGGAGGGGCCAGAATACCCTCGGCGAGGGCAGGTTCATCGTAACATCCCTCGGTGAGGGCGATTTGTGGATTGTGTGGGGGGGGCTAGTGGAAGGAGGACGTGAGAGTCGACCACTGAGTGCGTGTTGACCGCCAGAGCTGTGCTGCACCGAGCGTCTGATCAGTATCTTGATCATCATCACCCTGATGTCGTGGTTTATGCTCGAGCGCACCAGCGCCTGCGACGAACGAAGACTGAATGTAGCTTCGCAGTTTTGCTGCTCTGTGCTGCCAGCCTTGACTAAACGTGGTGGGAGGGGGCTGATGAGAGGAGAGGAACTTCACCGCCTGGATGGCGCATACTCTGTGCCCTTGCAGGCCCACGGTCTCTTAACGCCTCTCTTTTTGCCGTTGCGCCAGCCAGGCGTTATTTTGTTTGGTTGTACGGCGCAAGAAGCTCGCACTTCATGTATGGCCAACGTCAAAAAGAAGGAGGAGGAGGACGGGGAGGAGGAGGGAGGTGTTTCCCGCCTCGAGGCAGGCGGCCTTTGCAAGGTGCCGACACAGTTGCAATCGACCCCTTCCCCCCTCGAGGTTTGCCATCTGCCGCTGCCCCCCCTCGTCCTCCGTGGTGGTGGGGAAGTGTTCGTTGCTTCTTGGTGAAGCTGCGCCTCGTCCCGAACTGTCTATGGAGCCCCGTGTTATGGCCCAAACGCCACCTCCCATCGAAGAGGGGGGGGGGAAACTATCGGTGTGTGTGTGTGTGTGGCTCCTTTTTGTCTCTGTACCCCTGTTCGTATGTCTCCGTCCCGTCCCGCTTCTTCCGCCCCCTCCCTCCTGGCTCGCCCTTCCCCCTCGCCCTTCGCCATCCTGCGTTTGGCGTCGGCCCTCGCCCGCGTTTCCCGTCCCTGCCTTCTCTCTCGCCCGTTTCCGCGTCCGTCGTCCGCTCTCGCCGCCCCGGCCGCTGCCCCTCCTGGCCCGTCTGCGCCTGCCGCGGCGTTCATTTCTCCTGAGGCCGCCGCGACGCTGGGCGTGGCCGCCGAGGTAAAAGTGTGTGTGTGTGTGCTTTGACCTGTGACTGGCCGCGGCGCTGCTCGTGTTGAGCGCCATGAGGGCTCGGCGTTTGGACGCGCGCGCGCGCGTTCTCTGCTCTGACGTTGTACGTCTGTCGCTGCTCGCAGGGCCGCAACGCCAAAACGTGTGTGTGTGTGAGTGTGTGTGTGGTTGTGTGTGTGTGTGTCTGAGCGTCCCTCCTTCCTCTCGGCCGTGCCCCTTCTCTCTTTGCTCGTCGGCCAATTCGCTAGTTAGTGCCCCTATCTAGCTTCACGCTGGAGCGGATTTCGTCGTCTCGCCGCTGACGAAACATGTGTGTGTGTGTGTTTGTGTGTTTGCGTGTGTGCGTGTGTGTGTGTGTGTGTTTGTGTGCGTGCGTGCGTGCGTGTGTGTGTGTGTGTGTGTGTGTGTTGGTTCATGGTGCGTGAGCTGGGCCCACCCGCGCGCCCACTTCTGCTGGCGGCCGTGCGCCGAGCTCCGCCGCGCCGCTGCGCGCGTGGCCGCGACGCCAGGACGTATTTGTGTGCGTGCGCGTGGATGTCATGGCTGGGCCTATGTCACTGCCAGCAGCCAGACGAGGCCACACATACCCATGGGTTTCTCAATGAGCGTGGGGGGGTCCCCCCGACGGGGGTCACCCTCGCCTCGTCGTCGCGTCTCGGCGGGGGTCGGAGCGCCTGCGGCGTGCGGCGGCTGCCCGCGACGGGGGTCGATGTGGGGCTGTCGGCGGGGGTGACGCCCCCCCCGACGCGTATTGAGACAATCAGCAGAGCAGCCATGCAGCAGATGTCAAAACAATCGACCACCAGGAAGACGTGGATCCCTCGAGGGCGTCTGCGGTTCGGTCCGCCCTCCGTGCGTCGCACTCGGTGGCGCCGGGCCAGTTGGGTTCGAGGGGTGCCAGCGGTGCGAAGTCAGAGCAGAGCAGGAGTACGAGCTCGAGCCAGAGGGAACATGGGAGGTGGACAGCAGTGGAAACCATGAGTCGAGTCCCCAAATTTGGCGGAGTTTACCATGTGTTTTCGATGTTCCAAGCATCCAAATCTGGGCACACTGCTTTCAAGAAGCTTGCTCCCACGCTATCGCAGTCGGGCACACGTTGTCACACTTGTTCAAATTGTTTGAGACGGGCAGACTAATTCAAACTGCTGTCAATATTATTCAAGCTTCCAAATCTGGACACTCTTTTTTCGAACGCTGTCGAATGTCCGAATCTGGGCAACATTATATCAAACTTTGGCAAACGTCCAAGCAAGGGCAAGTTGTTGTCCAATCCTTTCGTTTTCCAAACATCAAAATATGGGTAACGTGTTCCAATAATTTCGCGCATTCCACATTCCTCGAATAAATAAATAAATAAATGAATATACATATATATATATATGAAATTCCCAGCTCCAGGCAGACCTTTTCCAAATTTTCGAATCCAGGCAAACTCACATCCATACTTCGCCTGCTTCGCGATTTTACATGTGCCTCCCTCTGAATTGAAACATCGAATCAAGCCCAGGTTTCGGCAGTTTGCCTCCTCCGGGGCGCTGAAGCGCCCAGTGCACGCCACGTGGGGATAGGGACCTGTTGAGCGATGCTCACCGAGGTGCCGTGGGTCAGCTGCCCCGTTGCTGCGGCCGTTGTCAGGTTGCGGCTGTAGGGGGCCACATGCGAACCCTGCCCCTACCCCCTACAATTTCTGAGGGGGAGGCTGGGGTTCACGTCGTTCGGGAGCTCACGAGCGAAGTGAACCCCATCCTCCCCCTCAGAAATCGTGGGGGGGGAGAGGGAGGGGTAGGGTTCGCACGTGGCCCCCTAGGCTGGTCTCCGCGCGGCGTCCTGCACTGCCCCCCCTCGCCGCTGCCCGGGAGCGCCCGCTCCGCGGCAGGCCAGCAAGTACAAGGCCCTGCCCGCGGCCGTCCAGGCCGAGCCGGCACGCGGGAGGGAGGAGGGAGGAGGGAGGAGGGAGGAGGGAGGAGGAGGAGGGGGAGGAGGGGGAGGAGGAGGAGGAGGAGGAGGAGGAGGAGGGGGAGGAGGAGGAGGAGGAGGGGGGAGGAGGAGGAGGAGGAGGAGGAGGAGGAGGAGGAGGAGGAGGAGGAGGAGGAGGAGGAGGAGGAGGAGGAGGAGGAAGGAGGAGAGGAGGAGGAGGAGGAGGAGGAGGAGGAGGAGGAGGAGGAGGAGGAGGAGGGGAGGAGGAGGCGGAGGAGGAGGAGGAGGAGGAGGAGGAGGAGGAGGATCAATCGCCGCTTTCCTACCCACATCCTCCATCCTCTGCCCTCCTCCCTTCGCATCCCTCTCTCCTGCCGCTCCCTCCCAGCCCTCTCCCCCTCCTGTCGCCTTCACGAGGGGCGGCGGAGCAGATGAGAGCGGGATGGAATGAGGGAGGGGAAAGACGGGGGTGAGCGAGGGACGACGGCAGGTGTGGAGGTGGAGCAGGAGGAGGTGATGCGGAGCGAAAGAACGCGCAGGAGGAGGACCAGCAGGAGGGAAGAGGGCGAGGAGCTTGATCCCGAGGAGGGATCGCGGGAGGAGATTACGCAGGAGAGGTTGGACGATCAGTAAATTGCGCAAGATAGGGCTGATGCCGACGAGGAGGCCAGAGTCTCCAGCCTCATCCCTATCCGTCTCCTCCTCCTCCTCCTCCTCCTCCTCCTCCTCCTTTGCAGCCTGCCTGAAAGCATGAAGGGCGGGAGGTTGAGGTAGGGAGCATGGTGGTGGTGAGGTTCGAATGAGGAGGATGGCATCAACAGCACGAGAAGCATGGAACTCCTTGCAGAAGAGAGGAGGGAGAGGATCAGGGGAGGGGGCGAGGAGGGCCGAAAGGGGTGTCATAAGGACGAGGCTTCCGGGAGTAGGATCGGGAGAAGGAGCCAGAGGCGAAGCATGAGGAAAAGCATGAGCAGCAATAGGAGCAGGTGTCGTGAGGTTTCGTCGGATTGTGCACAGACGGCACCCCCAGGCAGTCCTGGCTGGCCTCAATCAAGGGATGGGAAACAACCTGGACCCAATCATTGGCGTTTGCTAAACGGCCCAGGGCGTTCGTCAAGCAGCCCTGCCCTGTCCGATTCTCTCTTTGGGCGCGTTTGCTGCACGACCTTGCGTGTCGGGGTGGTTATTCTGGGGGTGGATTTTCTGGCCTCAA